AGAATTTCTAGATTTTCAGAATTGACAAGGGAACCTGTGGTTTCTTAGCAGAAGTATTGATGTAGTCAGAAGAGTAGATGTAAACTCATGACTGAAGATCTCTTTTCGAAAGATCTCAAAACATTTAATGTATTTTCAGTATTTTGGAATTACTGTGTGTGGATTTTTTGTTTATTAGCCATAAAATTCTGTTTGGTACATGTTTTTTTAAAGTAGCCCAATTCAGAGATTTCTTGGCAAGAAATTGCGATTATTTCTACCTGTAATGGTGGTGACTGAAGCTAAGGAAACTGTTCAGCACCCTGCCCTCTGCCACCCTTCTCTTTTTTCTTCACAACAGCTGTGTGCACAGTACTTGTATCAAATAGTTGAACAGGTACTTTTGAGGAAGAAATTTTAACTCCTCCTCAGACGGATGCTAATTTGACATAACCATTTTTGTATGCAACAGGATTCAGCCTTAACAAGCTTCTGCTGAGTAAGAAAATGTATGTGCATGGTCTCTTCAGGGCACAAAAATAATGTGTATAGTAATAAGGATTCCTCAACAGAATGAACTTTTCAGCAGTAATTTCTTTGTCTCAGAGATAATTGTTTTATTATTTCAGCTATTACTGCATTGACGTATGAACATTTTTTTCCTCACACAGGCTTCACTAGGAAAGAAAGAAAAAAGTAAAGGATTGTTTTATAAAGCCCTTCAAAACTGTCCTTGGGCAAAGGTAAGCACAGAAAAAATACAAACGTCATCATACTCAAATTTTAAAAGTTCTGTATTTGAAAAAATAAAAAGAAGGTAGAGTTTAGTAGTTGTTGTAATGAGTTATATGCAAATGAAAGGAGAGATTTCTGAAGAAGTGCAGTTAAGATTTTCTGCAAATAAGAGATGCATTTGAAATGGAAACAGTTTTCAGTGCTGCTTGCATTTCAGAACAGGAGGCTGTTGCATTGCATGAGGTAAAGAGGTAATAGATTCCTCTCTGTGTGACCTAGAAATGATCATATTTTTCAGACTGTTTTATCATGAGCATGGTAGTAGCAGAAGTAGGTAGGCAAACAAAAATATATTTATTTAATAGTATAAGAAATTATTGAGGAGCACCTGCAACTCCTTAGGTAATGTCTGTATATGTTGCAAATGCTCCAGTGCCTCTTGACCTACATTTTATCTTTTTGAATAAATCAAGTCTTTTCCAATTCTTACTAAATAATTTAAATGTCTCCATTGCTGTCACTATAGAAGTACTAATTCCGTTTGTATTATTTTGAAGTAGTATATGATATTTCTTATGTTCTTGCTGGAGAGTTGTTTGCATTATCTATGTATTTATTTCTTGCTACAATAGAAGGATGGCACAGAAAATGTTCTCATTGCCTTTCTAGGTACTCTATATGGATGCAGTGGAGTACTTCCCTGATAATCTGCAGGAGACACTCGACCTAATGACCGAAAAAGAACTGAGAGTGCGGGTACCTCTGGAAGAGCTGGATCTACTATTAGAGGTTTAAAAGAAGGGTGTCGATGAGCAGAGAAAATACAGAAGCTAATTCCAAATCCAAGTTAGACTTGTCTGTTTTTCAAACAGGAACTCTATTGGGACTTGGGCACTATGTACAAGTTGAATTTTTTTTTCAGTTTTTTTTTTTTTATGCTTTTATATAAATTGCTGTCCAAATGGAGCTCTAGTAGCTGCACGTATTCTAGAATTGAGTACTGCATTTTGCCCACAAAAATGCTTCCATTTCTCTGAAGTGCTGCTGGCTCCCACAGAAGGATACCCTCTTATAAATCGCTTTGTTGAATGTTGCCCACTTTCCTTATTCTATTGTTTAAAATGACATTCCCTAGAGCTCAGTAGAGACTCGGTACCTGCCAGCTATGGTTTGGTGAAGCAGTGCAGGAAATAAACATCTGCCAAATGGGTGCTTCTCGGTCCTCCAGCTGGCAGCTTCAGAAGTTTCCTGCAGCTTGGTATGTGTGTGTGTAACTGCCTGGTCCAACAGCCCATACATCTTCCATGCGCTGCTAGTAAAAGCCAAGTCTTTGCTTGAGCAGGCACCTATTTTGGACTTGTATTTGTGCGTTTTGACAGATAACCATTTTAATACGAGTATTTATGAGAACTGTACCTGAGTATTTGAAAATTCAAAAGGAACTTGAATTATTTTTTTATTTCTTAATTTAATAGAACTGTGAGTATATTAAAAGTGAAAATGTATCTGTAATACATCCCTTAGCAGCTCACTTTTAAACACCTTTTTTTGTAATCGATTACTTGCTTTTGACCCAAATACAGGCAATTGTCATAAGAGAAGTTAGAAGGTCTGGTCTGCATTTAATTCTCACCAAAGAAGGCAAAGTGGTAAACTCATGATTGTTTAATTAGTAGCTTCTATTCCAAGAGTCTTTAGGCAAGCTCCTAGAGAAGTAATGTGAAACATGGTAACAATTTGAAGATGTTATGTATCTGTAAGACAGAATATGCTGAAATATTTAGAAGACTGTTTAGCATCCCTACTCTGGACACCCAAGTAATCAGAAACTGGACCGTCGTCTGAAAAGAGGGTGCCTGCAGACACTAACCACCCCAAATGCCTCAGAGGTTTTCCAGGAGAAAACAGTCACTAACAGCACTAAAACGACTGGAATCATCCAGCTGATGGGATCTGATTACAGGGAAACTATGGCTGGAGAAAGCCATACAGCCTATGGCTCGATTTTTGCCTTGTAGCACCATAATACAAAATATATTTTAGTTAAGGCTGCACTTCATTTATCCTTTCCAAAATCATGTTAATTATTACAAGGAACACGCAGAATTTTAAATGGCATTACAGCACTTCTTAAGAGCTTTCGCATGTTGCTGTGGTTGCAAGCGATGCTAGTTTTTTCTATAAAAGTAATGCATTAGTCTTGTAAAAAATACTTGAAATCCGTACTTCAGAAATGACAGAGCTCCTGAATTGGAGGTGGGAGTGTGTTGGTTTTAGTGAGTTTTTGGTTTTATTTTTGCTCTTCCTTGTTAAAGCTCTGCTCACCTCCAGTGATTTGTTTCAGTCGCTTTTCTTCTGGGCACTTTGTTTTGCACAGCTTCTCCCAGTGCATCGCTCGTGCTCCCTCCTTTGCCTGGGGTGCTCAGAGGCTGCTCCCTGACCTCCTGGGGCTCCTGCCTTCTAGTTCAGACCTCAGGAGATTTTTCTGTCCTTCTGGAGAATATTATTGCTGTTCACATTCTCCCATCTTTATTACTTTCACCTTCATCTTTGTGACTCAAGTCAGAACTGCTGGAGAAAGTGGCAGAAGTTAAATTCTGCTGGAAAAGGTAAGAATTTAATTTTCAAACATGGGGTGATTTTTGCAGTCAGTGCTGTGGCAGGCAGTGTACTGGAACACAGCTCTTGCATTAGCTTAATACATGACAGTTTCCTTCAGTCAGTTGAACTGACCGTGTTGTGGTTGTTGCTGTCCCAAATAAAAAAAAGAAATCTTGGCTTGCCACACGTTGTAAGACTCTCCAGCCCCTCAAGCGATGATGAGATCAGCTGCTATGATTAGAAAGCACTAAAAAAAAAAATCACTGGCTTTTTGTGACCTTTCCAAGGAGACAGATCTCCTAAGGTTTATAAGAATGGGTAATAAAATGTTGCTGCTGGTTTTTCTAGCTCCAGATGAAAATCAACTCTATTTCAAGGTTCCTCTCATCCACACTAAATGAAAGACTCCGTTCATCTCTAGGGTTTGTTTTTGACAATGAACCACATAATTTTTACATAGAAAAACCAAAATCTCTTGGCCTTGCTGCCACCATTGTTGTTACAGCACTGGCGGTTACCAAAGGGGTTGCTTTGTCTGCAGCTCTCCAGTGTCTGTCACTGGCCAGCATTTGCTTCCGCAGAGTTTCCAGAACAAAGACTACCCGTTGTTTAACTGTGGACTGTATATGGAACTTTATGTAAACCTTCAAAATCACATGTACAACATTTGGCAATTAATTACTTAGCACTTAACAAAAGCACACCGCACAGAATAGCTGACAGGCAGTGTGGGCATCCCTGTAACTGAGCAAAATAGAAATCTTGATTCCTGTGGGGATGGAGCTGCAGGCAGTAGCTCGATTTAGAGGGGAAGAAATCATTTTAAGACAACGCTAAAGAGCATAAAGTATGTGCTGTGTAGTTTCAGTTTCTCTGGGCAGGGCTGCAGCCTGACAAATCGTGCACCTCCAGCCCCCAGGCTGGCCAGTGCCTGTACCTGAACAGCACGTACTGTGGGCCCAGGCAGGGCTGCAGAACCTCCTGCTGCCTCCATTCCTTCAAGAGACATCCTCTAACTTAAAGAAAACCTGCTGTGAAAAACACATTTATAAATTTTTTAATGTTACCCAAATAGGTTTAGCAATTTAAGAATACTAATTAACATGTACCCACCTTGCTTTCTTGTAAACACAAGCACTAGATAGGAGTGGGTAATGCTGAACGATATCTGAATGTTACTTAATATTGCATGTTTTTCATTAATCTTTAGGTATCTATAACTTAGGACACCGAGATTACTCAAAAGTAACTTCTGTCTTTTTAGCCCATTTAAAAAAAAGATATAGGAAAGTAATTAACAGGAGCAGCAATAATACAGTAGCTCTAAAAGCCTCCCTTGCCTCACAGGGAGCGACAGGTGGGCAATCTGGTTGTGCCCCCTCTCCCGGCAGGGTGGCATGTGGCAGCAGGACAAGCACTCACATCTCACTCATGCTTTTTCTTGGAAGTAAGTCTGACTAAAGCACGACAGTTCCCTGGAAACAGCAGGTCTCTGCCACCCAAACGGGTCAATTCAAATAAATCTTTTATTGGTATGTGAAGTGTTACACTGAAAACCCACAACTCACCAGCATTTAACCTCTTCATGAATGCGAATTACCTAGTCTGCGTGGTATTATGCAAGACTGTTGTCAACATAGAAAGCATT